GGTGTGTTCCTGTACAATCTCTTGGGAATTTGTTTACGTATTTATTTGAGAACTCTGGGTGTTTTTGTACAATCCTCTCTGGTCAGGAATATACTTACTTGGTTAGCCAATACATGGTGTGTTGCTATACTGCCAAGGCCTACTCTGGCTCACAGCCTTCCGTTCACATTGCTAGTTATGCCTAGGGCTCCAGCAAAGCCTACAGGTTGAATATGCCAACTAATATTCTTTGTTACAATATCCATTTTTATAACTGAGTAGGTGAAATTCTGTTTTACATCTGCACAACCCAGAGACATCGGTAAGACTGCACAAAATTAAAAGGCAGAATTTGACTCATTTGATAAAAGTAGGTTTTGTGACAATAATTTGTAAATTGGTTTTAGGAGAAATAAAATTATTTTGGCAGGAGCACGGTGTATTTCCCCAGTAGTAAATCTAGACTGAGTGTTGCAGAAAAGTCTTATCACCTTTAGGAACTCTGCTTCTGGCCAATCCATGAAACAGTATTATGACCTGTGGAGGCTCAGAACATTGGATGTTGCCACACACGGTCTCTAGAAAGGGAAGGGGGGGAAGCATTTTTTTTAACTTCATGATTGTTTCATAGAAAGTATTTTTATACTTGAAGAACATTATCCTCTTCCTCTTTTCTGAAAGCAAATGGCCTAGATCAGTGGTTCTCAAAGCCGGTCCGTCGCTTGTTCAGGGAAAGCCCCTGGCGGGCCGGGCCGGTTTGTTTACCTGCTGCATCCGCAGGTTCAGCCTATCGTGGCTCCCACGGGCCGCGGTTCGCTGCTCCAGGCCAATGGGGGCTGTGGGAAGCGGCGGCCAGCACATCCCTTGGCCCACACCGTTTCCCGCAGCCCCCATTGGCCTGAAGCGGCAAACCACGACCAGTGGGAGCCGCGATTGGCCGAACCTGCGGACGTGGCAGGTAAACAACCCGGCCTGGCCCGCCAGGGGCTTTCCCTGAACAAGCGGCGGACCGGCTTTGAGAACCACTGGCCTAGATGGTAGTCACCAACATTGTGTCAATTTGTGTCATCGCTGTTTGCATAGGTCTCAAAAGTGGCAGTGGTGTTAGTGCCATAAAGAGATGTCAGAGAGGGCCCCTGGTCACTTGGCATGCCATGAGCAAAGAGCCTGATGTACATGATGGATCAAAAAACAAAATAGCTGACTAAAAGTGCATATTAATTTATTTTGACAGAACAAACCTGTTATGGCTTTTGGACTCATAACAATTACCCTGTGTGTGGCCTACATTGGTTATTTACATGCAACACAGGAGAATAAAAAGGACCTCTATGAAGCTGTTGACAGTGAAGGAGCCAGATATATGAGGAGGAAGACTTCCAAGTGGGATTAAAGAAGCTGCTTAATAACAGAGAAGGAAAGAGGAGTAATTGGCAATGTAGGCATCTGAATTGTTAATGTTAAATTAGGTGTCTGCTAACTTTTCTATGCAATTCCTGGAATGATGTTTGTAAAATTTAATCCAATTTCTATTCCATTTTACAATGCCATGCCTGTACCTATAAACTTTACAGAAGACATACAAAGTAATAAAGCGTTAAGAACAGTTGTCTGAGTTGATGATTACAGTGTGTAGATAAAAGAAATAATTAAGTGTGAGCTGGAGACTCTAGTGATAAGTGACTTTAGAAATTTCTGTGATAGTTTAACTCATCTTTTTATGGTCTGCTTTGGCAAGTGGTAGTTTGAGCTGCAAAATCTGCATTTTTAATATTGCAACTAAAGATATTTTTTAAAAGACAAAACATCTAACAATTTAAAAAAAAATCCAGAACTCTGTAAATACTGACCTAAAAGGACCATTCAAAATGCTAATTTACTCTTTTATATAAATCCTTTAAGACATCCTTTTCTGTCCATTTGAGTGAATGGTTTTATTTCTAAATTAGTTTAAAAACTACATGTACCTTCACTGGAAAATATATGCCATCAATTTCTTATTAGTCACTGGAAACACAGGAAATTCTAAAGTGGTGGGGGTATTTTCTTGATATAAAATATAGTTCATCTATTTTTATATTAATAAAATATACAAGTTCTACAGTTTCTGAAATAATTACACACACACAAAACTATGTTACAAGAACATTAAGGTAGAAAAGTCAAGCATTCACAAGTTAGGAAATGCCAGAGTTAAGGTTACCTATTCAATTCAGCCTCCTTGTGTATCTGCATTATAATCCAATCTTTAATTACATGATCACATACTATTTTTTCTACAGACCCCCTACCTCTTTCCATTTCCTAACTTTTGAGTGCTTGACTTTGCAACCTTAATAATTTTCTTTTAACATAGTTTTTTGTGTCTCATTTCCTATGTTTTTAATTAAGCCAACTGATAAAACTCAATAGAAATTCTGTCATGTGGTGTCATATTGACACCCGTATGGGTCATTAGCAGGGTTGGAAACTTTATAGCCACTGCACATGACTCTGCCATGTGAGTTAACAGTAGGTTGCCATCCTCTGAATAGACTCGCACTAGAGGGGAATGAGGTACATACTTTTCTAGTGGGTTTCACTGATATTTGTTGACAGAAAAGGAATTGTGAGACACAAGAATTTTGTGTTTCATTCCAAGCTCTAGTGATCACACAATCTTCAGCTCATTCCTCTTAAGAATGACCCATTATGCCCCATCCACTCCAACCTGTCCCAGTCCTGTCTCTTCTCCTCCCATGGCTCCTTGTCCCAGTCCCATTCTCACCTAGTCAGTCCCAGTCTCCACTCCTAAAACATTTTGTCCTGGTCTTGCCCCTCCAGAATCCCTGTCCCAACCCCTCCCACTCCCAATTCTCCCCCTGCACTCTGGCTCCTTGTTAGATCGGTCTCCTCTCCCATCTCAGCTCCTTTCCCCTGTCCGTTGCCCTACTAGTTATCAGTTCCAATCTCCTTGCCTAGCCAGTCCCAGTCTCCTCTGGCTCCTCATCTGATCTCAGTCTCTCCCTCCTAGCTCCCAGTCCTCACCTATTTCCCTTCCTGGCTCCCAAGCTTCTTGCATTCCAGTCACAGTCCCCCTTCCCAGTCTTCTTGCCCAGCCAGTCATCTCCCCCATTCCAGTGCCTACTTGTCCTCTCTATCTTCTGCCAGCCTCCCGTTCAAGTATGCCCTCTACCTCTCCATGCAGGCTCCTTATCCCAATCTACTCACCTTACCTGTCTCCCCGCTCTGGATATGGTCCCCTCTGCATTTGAATCAGCAACTTGCTCCTCCACCCTGCCTGGACTCAGCAAAAGGGTCAGCGAGAGCATATGAATGACAAGCTCCCTGCTGTCAGTCCAGCTGCCCTGACTTGGACATGTCACAGCTCAGAGCTGTTACAGCAGAAAAAACCCTGCTCAGCCCTGGGTTGAAGCATGCACAGTGCAGAGAGAATCTTTGGGATATTTAGTTACGAAAATCTAAGACGTCTCTACTGAGCATGTGCAAACTGATTTTTCAAAGACTCATATAACTTGGCCAAACGTGGGTGGATTTTCAGTGACAGCAAAAAGCATGTTCCTGACAGAAGACCACCCTCTTCCAATTTTTAAGTCCCTGCTCCAAGGCCGGGGCGCACCACTAAAAGGTGGCTAGAATTTTTTAACATGGGCAAAACAAGATATTTTTTCCTAGCCTTTTGTTTTATAGGAGAGGATAAGAAGGGCATTGAGACTAACTCTTTCATTTAACAACTATTGTGTGGAATTTTAACCAGATGATTCTTTAATTCATTAAAATATATTAAGCCGACATTGCTTCAATGGGCTTTAATCCTAGTGAGCAAGAACTACTCTGAAGGGGTCTGTGATATATGGGAATAATGCAAGAGTGCGTCCTTACTGTTGAATTATGTTTTGTGGTGTGAAGGTGATCCTAGAAGTGAGCAGTAGTAACAGTGGAAGAAGGGGAGGGGAAGGGTTTAGAACTGAGTCAGGGAGAGGGGCTTGGTGAATGCACCCATGAGACTATGTAGTGGAAGGTCTGGCTGCAAGGGCAGCTGTGTTTGTTGTTGGAGTCGGGACTAATTAGTCAAACTGATGCAAACCTATGTGGATTGAAGGAGGAATGTTTAGCCTAGTTTTTCATTTTTCAACTCACGGTCATACTTACCTCCTTGTAGCAATTACTTTTTAAACAACTCTTAATAATACATAGATGATATACATAAAGTGCAGAAAACAGCATGAGTGCAAAGATGCATACAGTACATTAATCGACAGTACAGAAACATGGCTGACAATTGTTGGTGTAAATATCTGATTCCTGCAAATACCGCATACAGTTACAGCAGTGACCAAAAGGGAGAACTCAAATCTCTCAAGCACAGCTTCACTTATGTGAACTGGGGATAAACAAACAGCACCAATAATGTTTAGTTGTGTCCTGTTTCTGTAGATTTCCTTTTCAACAGTGGTAACAACGTTTACAAGAAAATTCCTACCTTGACAAAAATAAGCCACAATGGTTTTCTGAGTGGAGACTTTTTGATACCCCATGCCACCCATGAATCATTCTCCTCTTCAACAGAAAATACTGATACAAACATTTGAAACAGTAACCATTGCTAAATACTTTTAAAATCCCTTTAAAGTGCTTGGATTTGAGAGAAATTGTTGCCATGCCTTAAGTAATAAAACAAAAAAATTGATGAGATGCTGCTTAACACTACCTGGTATCTACAAATGCTTTTGTGAGCAAATCTTGTCCTGCCTAGTAACAGTTGCTAGGTATGAGGTTGGTTTAAGGCTGTAAGAGGTCAGTTAATAAATCCTCTCCCATCATCAGTCCACATTATGTTATTCAGCTCCTCACCACTTGTGCTTAACCTGCAGGCAAATGTTTTAGACATCATCCTAATGGTGAATGATGTTATCTTTTAACTGGACTGCATGTTTTCTGTAGAAACAGTAAGCATTTTGTCTGCAAGGATTAGGGCAGTTTGGACATTTTAGTAACTACCTGGAATATTTTATACAACCATGATTAGGAATCCAGATTTGAGCTCCTTTGTTTGTTGTGCTGTATGCTCAAAAATAATACCACCACCACCTACACCTGCTACTTTTGAACGGATTCGGGAATATAAGCCTTACAAAACACGGTTTTACACGCATCGGGATATATTAGGTAAGTTGGTTTCCTGAATGCTTCATTTGTAATTCTCCAATTGGGGATATCCAAAATGCTTATACATGCCTCTATTCTTGACTTTCACATCTTCTTCCAATGGCCTTTCCTGGTTGGTCAGAGATAGATACATGTACTTATTCATGAATATGTACAAATACTACAGATCAAATAATTATTCTTCTCAAAGTATTAAAGATTTGCTCACAATGGAGCAAAAAAGAGAGCTAGGTATGAGCATATTTAAAAATAGTTGTAAGTAAGGCTTAAAAGGATTGAGAAGAACTGTGCTTGACAAAGATTTTTTTAAAACTCTTTAGTAAGGCAAAGTTACAATACAAAACTGAAGTCATTTCCTGTTTCAGGATCTGGGCCCTAGTTTGTCACTCTACAAGGGTTCAGTACAAAGTCCACAGGAATTTCTCCCTTGACATCAATAGACTTTAGATCAAGCCCTAAACAGACAAGAGAGAAATAGAAATCATGCTAGAGAAAACTGTGTAATGACTAGCCACAACAACGTTACAACTTTGCTGGGTACAACTCTTCAAAAAACAGTTAAACACTTTACTACCAGAACTGTGTACAGGGCCCTGAAACAACAGTTCCTGACAGGACTCTGGCATACTTATACAGTAAAAGCTGTGTTATCTGGCACTTTACCAGCTGGAAACCAGCATTTCTGATATCTCCCAATACAAGTCTTCAATCTAGTAACTGGGACCGATGCCGAAGCTATTCGGGACCCAAGTATTTCTAAGAGCAGTTGGACTACGCTCGAGTTAGCCAAGAAGAGCCAATGCTGTTCTTTCTGTTTGTATCCGCCATTGTGATCGGTCGGTTTATTACTCAGGGTATAGTCCTATGTTTATTGCAAAATATCAATGCCACCCTACCATTATGGCATCCAAAATACCAGCGAAAAGCAAAGGAGAGAAGCGTAAGAGAGTTGTGTTGACATTAAAATAGAAAATAGATATTTGTACATGTCTTGAAAAGGGCAAGAACAGGAATGTTTTGATACAAGAGTACAATTTTGACTTGTCCATGATATCCGACATCAAGGCTCAGAAAGGACAATTGCTCAAATTTTTGCTAGTTGTGAGTCAAATAAAGCTGTTGAACAACTCTATACTCTGCATACACCTAAATTAGAGCAGCTAGACAGTGTTTTATATGAATGGTTTTCATTGAAACGATGGGAGGGTGCCCCTATCTCCGGCCCAATGCTCGTTGAAAGGCAAAAGATTTTTATAAGCAAATACAATTAACTGAGCCATGTGCATTTTCTGAAGGATGGCGTTTGTGTTTTAAACTTCATCACGGTATTAGAAAGCTAGATGTATCCGGTGAACAAAAATCAGCTGACCATGAAGTGCAGAAAAATATTGTGAATTTTTTAGAAATTTAATTGCTGAACATGATCTATCCCCTGAACAAATTTATAATGCTGATGAAACTGGCCTATTTTGGCGATATTTGCCAAATTCTACCCTAGCAGGAGCAAGCGAATTTAGTGCTGCTGTTTTTTAGCACAATAAAGACAGACTAACCCTTCTTACATGTGCTAATGCTGCAGGCTCGCATAGAATAAAACTTTTGGTGATTGGAAAATATAATCGTCCTAGAGCTTTCAAAGGTGTTGCACATTTACTTTTTGTTTACAAAGCACAAGGTAATTCATGGATGGACAAAGAATTTTTTAATTAATAATAATTAATATGATTGGTTTCATCATATTTTTGTACCTGCAGTGAAAGAACATTTTAGAAAAATAGGTTTACCTGAAGATAGCAAAACTATTCTATTGCTCGACAATTGTAGAACTCACCCTCAAGAAACGGAGTTAGTGTCTGGTAATATTTTTACCATCTTCCTGCCTGCCAGCGTTACTGCATTGATTTAACCTATGGACCAGGGCATTATCCAGAATATGAAATGTTATTACAGAAGAGATTTCCTGAGAAAGCTGATCAATCATGAAGGCACTATACAGGACTTTCAATCTCGTTATAACATAAAAGATGCAATTTTTAATGTTGCTTGTGCCTGGAATTCTGTTAAAAGTGAAACATTAAAGGGCTTAGATAAAATTGTGGTCTAGTGTTATGTTTGCAGAAGTGTCTTCTGATGAAGATGAATTTGAAGGCTTTAAAGTAAAGGTTAGAAAAAATACATTAGCACAAATTCTTGAAATGGTGAAGGATACTCCTTCACACCCAATCAACAAACTTCATGTAAATGAGATAGAAGACTGGGTTGAAGCTGACACTCAAAGACACTGATAAAGACAGTGAAGACACTCATAAAGACAGTGAAGAAGATTTTAGTGAAGAGGACAAAATAACTTGGGGAAAGGCTGCTTCAGCTTTTGTTACAATAATTAAATTTGCAGAAAGGCAGCCATGTTATACAGACGCTCCCCGACTTACGCAAGCATTCTGTTCCAGAACGCCTTGCGTAACTCGAATTTTGCGTAAGTTGGAAACATATACCTGACCATTACTCAAAAAAACCCAAAAACCAAAACAAAAAAACCCCTCCTATTTCTAGCTTATGGAACTCTTTCCGTAAGTGCGGATTTGCGTAAGTCGGGTTTGCATAACCTGGGGTGGGGGGGTCTGTACTGCCCAGGAGGTTATGCAATGGCACATTGTGCACTCTACTTTTATGCAAAAGAGGCTGAAGAATATTAAGCAAGCTGATATCAGGGATTTATTCAAAAAAGCAGCTTCCAGGGTGTGTCATAGGGTCAGTACAGATTCAGTCCAATCTCCTACACCTTTTACATCTACAATGATAATTGATGTTGATAATGATGACCCTGAGGCACTGCAAGATCCTGAAATGCCTTCTGAATCATCAAAGAAAGATTAAATTATGTTCAAGTATAGTTTGTGTTAAGTGTATTTTTAGTGATCTGGGTGTAAGCCATGCGCTGCCCATAGTGATATGTAGTGTCATAAGGTAACCTACTGTATAGAAAACTTTACCTGTATACACCTAAGTGCTTCAAGAAACCAACCACTCTGCAGTGCAGTACTACTATTGGATTGGTGAGTACCTGTATACTATTTTATACTTTATTCATTTTATTGTATTTTAACTCTTTGAAAATTGGTATTCCATTGGTAAGTATAATTCTTAGTTAACCGGAATTTTTGACTAACCAGCACCCCACATTTTCCCAACATGCCGGATAACAAAGCTTTTACTGTATAAACTATCTCTAAGGTCATAGCCAGATTTTGTATTATACTGCAATTATAACTTAAAAATTGAAAGAAAATGTATCGTAGTATTAGTATGTTAATAGCAAGAGTCTGAGGTAAATCAATAAAGTAAGAATTTCTATACCTAACTATTGCAGGGATCTTTGATCAGTGATATTAGTATTGTGAGTCACACTGCCTATGTTCGATAATGTGAGTTACCAAAGAGGTTTCAGTCATTATTCAATAGCTTGTAGAGCTTGGGATAGTTGCTTTTCAAAATACATTTGAAGCATCAACAGTGTGCTCAGGGCTGTAGAAGACCCAGAAGCAGAGCCGGTCCACAACATTTTGACACCAGAGACGGGGAGCTCAAATGACGCCCCCATACCCCTCACTTGGGCCAAAACTTTGAAAGGTCTCAATTCTGCCTTCTTCCTGTCCTACTCCTCTCATGGTACTGCTCTGCTACCTACCCCAATAAAGGAGAACTAACAACTTAAAATGCCTTGTTCAAAAATTTTAAGTAACACTTAACTTTCGAACGCCTGAACAGCAAATGTAACTTTTCTTGTCTGCATAGAAAACACTGGCATTTTTATCTGTTTGAGTAATCAAAGTGGTGCTTTCTTGGTTGCAAAGATTTGAACTGCTTCCTGAAGGTCCACAGTCTGGGCCAGCTCATGCTCTATTGAGATGGTTGCAAGGCCGACCAGCCTCTCCTGTGTCATTGTGGAGCGTAAATGTGTTTTTGTTAACTTCAGCTTGGAGAAGCTGCGTTCTCCACTGGCAACTGTTACAGGAAGCATTAGAAGTATGCGCAGAGCAACAAAAGCATTTGGAAAGAGGGTGGTCATCTTATTTGTGCACATATATTCCAGAACAGCCTTTGGAGCTGATCCTGCTGAAATGTATCTTGAAAGGGCTTTCAGTTCATCACCTAAATCATTTGCATCAATATCGCGCATGTCATCATGTGTCAACACTGTCTCTAGTGCCCTGCATTGCTGGAGTAGGTCTTCTTCAGGTATAGTGAGGAGTTTTGGAATATCATACAACATCCCAAATACACTGCTGTGTTCCTTGAGCTGCATGAAACGTTCTTCAACTGACTGTATTGCACAATCTAGCACCTGGTTAAAGAATTCAACTTGGAATTGTTGTTTGGGGTCTCTTATGGGATTATCCCGTGCCTCGTAATCAAAATGTCTTCTTCTTCGGTGACTCTTGTATTCTTGAATGGGTGGGAAAATAGCTTCAGTGTGAAGTTCTTCTGCCAACTTCTGTGCACTCTTCAGAATGTTTTGAAATCCCTCATCTGACCAGTAAGACTGTAGGTATGACTTTGCTTTGTCCAGTTGTTCCATTGCTCCAGATATATCAAGGTCAACACCTTGGAGTCTCTTGCTTACAATATTTATTTCAAACAGTATGTCATGCCACAACACTAAGCCACACACAAATTTGAAGTTATGTATGTTTCTGGTGATTCCATTTCCCTCTGCCACTGTTCTCCCACAAACAGTTCCTGTCATAGCATTATCCTCCATAATGGCAACTATGGCATCATCTAGCTTCCCAATTTGGTGTTTGATAGGCTTTATCGCCTCCACTCGGCTTTCCCATCGTGTGGCACTCAGTGGTTTCAGTGTCAGAGAGGATGTTCCCAGATGTTGCTTCAAAATTTGCCATCAATGAGTTGATGCAGAGAAAAATACATAGATGCTTTGAATTACATTAAAAAATTCAGCAGCCTCACTAGAAGCTGATGCTGCATCACTGACCACCAAGTTTAATGAATGAGAACTGCATGGGACAAAAAAAGCTTGAAGGTTTAACTCTTGGATCCGTGTCTGCACTCCTCTGTTCTTTCCTCTCATGTTGGCACCATTATCGTAGTCCTGACCTCTCATGTCAGCTATCGCAATTCCCGTATCGTCCAGCTTTTTAAGAAGCACATTTGTCATACCAGCTCCTGTAGTATCATCAATGTCAATAAATTCTAGAAAATGCTCTCTGACAGTCACCATTGCAGGGATATTTTCACTTGGTTCTGTTGTTGTTACCAAACTCACCATTAAAGTCATTTGTTCCATATGGCTGATGTCAGGTGTGCAGTCCAGAATAACAGAGTAATATCTTGCTGACTTCAGATCTGCCACAATCTTCTGTTTGACTTTTGTTGCCAGTAACTGTATGATCTCATTTTGAATTGTTTTTCCAAGGTAGTGGTGTGTGTACATTTCTTGGACGGCGACTCTTCTTAGATGCTCCTGGAGTACAGCATCAAACTCAGCCATCAGCTCCACAATTTTAAGGAAGTTTCCATTGTTTGGCACATACAGCTGATCTGAAGTGCCACACAGTGCTAGGTTTTGGGTAGCAAGCATTCTCACAATGGCAATGAGCCTTTTCAGAACATTTTGCCAGTAAAGAGACTCTGATGCAATCTTCTCTTGATGCTGATCATCTATGGTGGCCTTTAACCTTAGTCTCATCTCAAGTTCTTTCCACCTCTGGAATGTTCTCTGGTGATTTGCTGCCTTCTTATGGCATGCCAGATTTATAGCCAGATTTTTCCAGTCCTTTGTTCCTGTAGAACCCAATGTGGCTGGAACATTAGACTGGAAGAGTTTGCAACAAAAACAGTATGCAGCATTTTGGGTTTTTGCGTATATAAGCCCTGGCCTCTCCACTTTGTCACCACTGGGGATTTCACGCTAGTAATGTGTTGGATGGAAACTTCTATTTTCATTGTCTTTGGGGAACATGAAGTTTTTCACTTGCTGTGGCCCATGCAGTACAAGGAAGTCCCTCAGGCTACTGCTCAAGTGGGTCCGCAGTCCTGGATCATCTAGACTTAAGGAACTAAACTCAGCAGCGGCTGTTTCTTGCACCTTCACTACACTCTTCTCTGATCTGCACTTTTCTTCAGGAATGTGCATGGTTACATCCATTTGAGATGGAGGTATGGATGCTGCAGTAGCTGCCAGGTCACCTGCACTCTGACTAACTGGAAGATCAGGCATCTCCTCATCACTCACATCCTCACCCCCTCTGACCACGCTAAAACACCCCTAGTTGTCACCTACCACCTCACACTGGAACCCCTATGGAGTATCATCAAACATCTACAACCCATACTCTAGGGGGACCCCATCCTGAAATAAATCTTTCCAGAACCCGCCTCTTCTGGCCTTCGAACAACTCCCCAACCTCTCCAAGCTTACCATCAGAATCAACCTCCCCACAGACCAGGATACACCAACTCAAAGTGGCATCAGACTCTACCAGAACAACAGATGCAAAACCTGCAGACATATCTCCACTGATGCAATGATCAACACCCCCCACAACGCACCATTCAAGATCCATGGGTCCTTACACATGCCTATGACAACATGTGCTGTACCTCATCCAGTACAGTAAATGTCCCAATAACAGCTATATGGGTGAAACCAGACAATCACTATGCTCTCAAATGAAGTAACACAGAAAAATGATAAAAGCCAAAAACACACCATATCACCTGTGGGTGAACACTTTTCACAAAGCAATCATTCTATATCTGACCTATCATCCTCAAAGGAAACATGCACAATACTTTCAAAAGATGAGCCTGGGAGTTTAAATTCATAACTTTGCTAGACAATAAAAATCATGGACTGAATAGAGACACTGGATTTTTTGGCTTATTACAACAATCTGTAACCCACTAACAACCCCCCTCCTAACTGCCTCCACCCACTTCCTTCCCCGGTCCCTCCCTGACCTGATGGCTGAAGGTGTGTTAACGGGCCATTTCACTTTGAATTGTCCCTTGAAATATGTGTTAACTACTTATGCTAAACCATCTGTTCCATCTTGTATTTAGCTGTGACAGTATGTTTCACAGACCTGAAGAAGAGCGTGTAAGCTTGAAAGCTTGTCTCTCTCACCAACAGAAGTTGGTCCAATAAAAGATATTACCTCACCCACTCTGTCTCTCTCTAAGCCGGTTACTTGTCATTCACTCGTGTTCTTTGTATATACTGCCTTCATAGATTCACACTCATATTTATGTGAAGCTTATTAACAGAATTATTACCGCAGCTAGTTTAGCGCAATTATATGCCTAATGTATGTGCCAGTCATGAAAATGTGCCTCTTTATAGCAAGTTTCAGTACACTATACTACTCTTTATAGCATAGTATATCAGACATGTATCCCCTGTTGGGCTTTTCCCCACATAGGCAAGAAAAAGATAAGATAATTTTCAAAACTCAGTATTCTCAGTATAAAAAATGGTATCTTGTGTGAAATTCAATTAATGGAGAATAGTTGCACCAAAGTAGTCAGAAACTACAAATTACATCATAAGTATGATTTCTTATTAACCATACGTTACTAAACTATGTACTCACATACTACTTCTTTTAAGACATCAACAGTCCCAGGTTTGATGATAGGCAGGGAAAAGAAAAAAAAACCTAAGGTCTGATCTACATTTAAAATTTAGGTCAATTTAGCTGTAGTGCTCAGGGATGTGAAAAATCAACCTCCACTCCCTACCCGAACACCATAGCTATGCCCACTTAATCCCCGGTGGAGACGCAGCTAGGTCAATGGAAGAATGCTTTTGTTGATCTATCCACCGTTGCTTGGTGAGGTGGTATTTCTAGTGACAGAATCAGCCGCCCCTCACTGTAGGCTATGTCTACACTGTGGGGTTATGCCAGCATAGCTATGGCACCATAGCTATGTCGCTATATTCCCCATAGTGTAGATGTGGCTTGAGTGGATTTGGCCAATATGTGTCCTTCTGGTAGAGTGGTTGTTACCCTTGGTGCACATATTGATACACATGTTTCCAAACTAGCATGGCTATACTAAATTTGATGCTGTTGAAAGGTACTGAGCTAGACAACCCTGGAGTTGGCAGCCTCTATTATCCACAAAATGGATACAACATTTGTAGTGACAGTGTCGACTCTCCAAACTGCCCCATCAATGTGCCTTAATTCTGTTTTGAAGAGATTAACTTCTGGATTGAGATGGCAGTTTAGTCCAAATGCCTACTCAGCACTTATTTCTACTGTGTGGGCTAACAATGGAGAGAATTAGTGCCAGCCGTTGTGGTAGACTGGGTGAAGTCAACATTTGTTTGCTAGGAAATAGACTAAGACCATCAAATTTATTTCATATAGGTCACCAAATAGCCATCAATCAATGGAATTGTGGGTCCACAGCACCTCATAAGATCAGGTCCCTAGACTGTATGCTCCTTGAGCAGAGTCCTTGTTTTTAAAGCAGTGCATTCACTTAAGACACTGTATTAACAATATTTACATTATAAATACTGTCTGCAGTGAGGATTCACATTGTGTATCTTTTTTATTTTTTAAAAAATATCAAATCAAGCAAATGGGCAGGAGACAGTTTAGTTTCTTTATACCTGTAACATGTTGCACATGATCCATTTCTGTTGAATATACATAGAGCTCGGAGCAGATCTTCAACAAGAACAATGTGAAAAAAAGGAATTAGAAGTAAAAGAACGGATTGAAAAAATTAAAGCCGAACTATGGTTTCAGGTAAATTAAGTTACACTACTATCATTGAAATTAACATTTATAATTATGGAATCTGTGTTGTAGCATGCAAATTGTGGATAAATTCCTTTGAGCTCATGGGTGGCAGGTATAAGAGGCTTGGAGAGCTAAGCCTCCCCAAACGGGCCAAAAAATGTCCGATGTGGTACACCTCCCTTCGGAGGCATGCCCACGCCTTTGGAGCGCTGTCGCTGGAAGTTCCTGAGAAGTGGGGGGCCACCATGGCCCCACCCATGCTCTGCCCAGAGGCCCTGCCCTGCTTGGCCTCTTCCCCCATGGCCTCGCCCCCGCCCCTCCTCTTCCCGTCCCCGCTCCACCTCTTCCCCCAAGGCCCCACCCTCTGCTCACTTCTCTACATCCCCTCTCGCCCCATCGCTTGCCCTTAAGGCAGGAGGGGGCAGAAAGGAGCAAGCAGTGGGCAGGGGAGCGTCGAAGGAGGGGGCAGAGAGGAGTGAGTGGCAGGCAGGGGTTTGGGGAGAGGGCAGAAATGAGCGGTGGGCAGGCAGGGGCCGTCGGGAGAGGGGGCAGAGAGGAGCATGCAGCAGGCAGGGGGCCTCAAGGGAGGGGGCGCAGAGGAGTAAGTGGCAGGCAGGGGGCCTTGGGGGAGGGGGTGGAGAGGAGCGGGCAGAGGTGGGCCTTAGGGGAAGAGGTAGAGCAGGGGTGGGAAGAGGCAGAGTGGAGGCAGAACCTCAGGGGAAGAGGCCAAGCAGCAGTGGGACCTCAGGGCAGAGCAGACGTGGCGTGTAGGCCATAGGTGCTAGAACTAAGAGTGTGGCGGGGGGGTGCTGCTGCACTCCATGGCTTGAAATGTTTTCCATTATATGAAGGGTTTACAGTTTGGTTCAATGGCTCTCAGCACCCCTGCTATGCAAATTGTTCCAGCACCCCTAGTGCAGGAGCAGCCTCATGGGGAGGAGACTGAGCAGGGGCGGGACCTCGGGGCAGAACGGGGGTGGGGCCATGATCCAGGCACCGGTGGCCCCCTCCTACTTCTCAGGAGCTCCTGGCACTCACTCCCAGCCACTCCCAAAAGCAAGAGTCAGGTGCCATCTATGTTTGAACTGATAGTTAATATCAGTTCATCTTCATCTGCCAGTTCATTTTTTACTTTAAATCTAGAAATACTGGAAAGAACACGCAGTCTACAGGTTAAATATTTTTTTAATACTACATTTATTTTTAACCAATTATCAATGCTTGTTTATGTAACAGACAACAATAATTCTACAGTTGTTGTTGCATAAGTACCAAATCCAGCACACAATGAATAGCAGAACTCCCATTGACTCCAATGTAAGCAAGAGCAGGTTCTGTATGCACAAATTTGCACATGAATATGATCCTCTAGTTATCAAGCTCAACTAACTTGGGCATTTGACCATCCAAAAATAACCGGTCAACTTACTGGTCAAATTTTGTCAAATAATGTCAAAAGTGGTAAAATATTTTAAAGCATTAATTTAATACAACAGTAACAGAAAAGAGTCAGACTTTATGGTCTCCAATAAGCTTAGCCTTAGATACTTATGCCTACTTAAAAAAAAACAAAACAAATTACTTAACTGAGTTATTTTAACTCAGAAAAAATGCAAAACACAATGAAGTTCAGCGATGTTAGGTTAGCACTTAAATGTGAACGGTATTCAAGACTGAACAGCTACAAAAGAAAATAAAAATGAAATTAAACAGAAATAAAACAAACACATAGCAACCATAAAAGAAAAAAGTCATTTTTAAATGCACTTATGCTAAGTAGGCAGCAGGCCACCTCTTCAGGTAACTTAATGGCTGTCCATGTTTTCTCTTTGTGTCGGGGGAGGAGGTTTAATGACTGTAAACCCTCCTCTCTCACCCCTACTCCCTTCTGAGTTAATTTCTATATGTTTGTCTAGTCAGTTTAGATTGCAAGCTCTTTGGGGGCAGGAACTGTGTCTTTTAATTTGTTTAATGTGTTTTGTAAGCCACCAAGTACATTGATGGCCTGGTATACAACTAAAAATATACAGACAAACAATATTTGTTCTAGAAGATACCAGCCAATCAAGATGCTCACTTTCATTTAGTTCATCTTTTCCCCAACAGGTGGCATTAGCATGTAGTAAAATGAGTGATTAAGACCTTTAAATAAATTTGCTAACTCATGGCACCATGATACAATCAAAAATGTCAGCCTCCGCCTATATCAGGGTATTCTTGCTGGAATATTTGACAATATTTGACCATGGTCAAACAATAAGCAGTGAACTGAACCGTCAACTGACATTATTTTATCAGTCAATTGACCAACTTGCCAAATCTAATCTCAGCAAGGCACATTTTTAACATTATGAAGAATTTAAACAAATTTTACATCAAAATTTGTCTTTGAAACACAGTGATCACTACTAAAATATCAACATTTGCCAATCCTTTTCCACACAGTGCTATGTGAGATGCAGAGTTGCCCGCTATGCTTACAATAGGTAACAAAACTGTGGTATCTCAATGCCATTGTATGGTACAGTGTTAGCAAATGCCCACTTTTTAATATTGATCACTGTACCGACAATTTTCCAAAGATCAATGTAACAATGTTGTCAAATAGCCCGAAACACCACATATGTTATCATTTCTATATAGATTTATCTGTCTTAATTTTTTAATGAAAAACAATAAAGCTATTGATTACAATAAACTCTGATCCAAGTCAGAATACCATGTAAACAGATCTTTAGCTAACTGCAGTCAGGCTATGATTATTTTTTTTAAGGCTAAAGTGGAAAAAGAAGATGCAGTGGAACAAGCCCTTGATCAGGCAACAGCCGAACACAACAGTTTTTTAGAAGACCTAAAAAAAAAGCATGAAAAAGAACTAAAGGTTTGGAGTCACTTGCTTCCATTTTTAATATACCAAATATTTTACTGTATAAATGTCCAACTATGGAATTGAATCACCTTCTCAACAATACATTGTCATACTATATGTTTAAAGATGTTCTATTTGTGCTTGTACACTGCTATCATTTTGTATCAGTTGGGAATTGAGTCCTGTTGTTTGATGGGGTAGCTTGCCTTGAGGATCACTGCATTTTTCCTTATGCCAGATTATTTGGTTCTGTCTGGTCAGATACTTGGATTAGCTAGTTCTTTCTGATTGTTTTTTAGCATTCTATACTTTCCTTTTTATTGTATGAAAGTTAGTTGTTTTGTGACAGATGCCCTATAAGGCCCCAGTTCAGCAAACTGCTTGAGCACATGCTTAACTTTAAGCACCTGCTTAGGGCAATTTCTATTCAGCACAGCAGTTAAAGATGGGATTAACTTTCAGCACATTCTTAAATTCCTTTAATACCAAAGCTAAGCAGGTGTTTAAATGGTTTGCTGAACTGGAGCCTAAATTTAAAAAATAAAAATAATTAGAAGTATACTACTGTAAGTCTATCTATCTATCTATACATACACCTCTAAACTAAGCATGCAAATTATGTTTTATTGTATAGACTCAACAACATGCTTAATGTGCATGCTGGAATATCTGATAAAAGATGCAAACACAAATATAAATACAAAGGAAGAAAACTACAAACAGCAATTAAGCTTCTACAGCATTTTATTCTATTCTATAGGTTTTTATATCACTGAAGTATCTGAGGGCTTTCCAATAGTGCATTAAGAAACAGGACCATCATCTGTGTCACATTCTCTCCCCAGTGGGAGAAGTGTGTGCAGTGGAGTATTTTGTTGTGTGTTGATGTTAGAGAAGGAAGGTCAAAAGAATATGTCTTGCACTGAATGGAATATGGTGAGGTCTGTGATGGTCCTTTGTTCCTGTTGGAGTTCACTCCAGTTTTGGGCTGGCCCCCAAGAAAGCTTTGTCTCCAGCTCTTATAGCATCCACTATAGGTTGCAGAATCTCAGGATTCCTGATGTATCACAATTCACTCACTAGCCTCAAGTTTTATTAAGGATTTTTGTGGACTTGGGTATATAAGGACATTAATATGTGCTGTTTGCACCAACAAAATGGTTGCAAATACAAAAATCATAACAAACCCTGGACACAAGACATGCCGCTCAGCATATAAACCACAAGAAAGGAGATAAACTACAACAAAGGGAAGATATATTCCACGTGGTTATAAAGTATTTTAAGTTTGGTAATTTGTTTGTTTTTTGGGGGTTAACCTAACAGTTGTTTAACAATAACCTCTGGGTTTTGAACCAGATGGGCAGAAAATTGGAGAGGAGAGTATATGACCGGGGATTCATTTAAGCCCTGTTTAAGCAAACTGACTGACGACAATGGCTGACAGTAGCAGGTCCCACTGAATGGGTGCTGAAAATGTTTTAAGAGTTCATGTAGCTGGGACAAAACAGTTTTTCAGCACCAGCAACCTCAAAAACACTTTTTGGAACGATGCTGAAATGGCTCTGTTCTCTCTAGAGTAATGGTTAAACAGTTTTCAGCACCTGTACAACAGATGCCAGTGCTGGTAACTGTTGTCAGCAATGGTCAAACTGCCAGTGTACATGAGACTACAGAATAGTTGTCTTCAGTGCAAGGATTTTATGTAAGTGTGCACAAGAGCTACGACAAACACCTCAAAGCTTTACTTGTCCTTCATCAGAGATACTCCAAAGAACCAGCCATCTGAACTCATGATAGTGCATTCAGATTGCCTTGCCTCCATTAGTGGTTCCTCCAAATGAACGAATCAAGTTTATTCTTTGTGAAAATAGTGAGGCTATAAGCTAACTGAATGTACCTTGGCTGGATGTGATATGGCCTCTAATGAGTGTCTGTGATTTCCTGAGTTCCCTGAAACGGGCCACATTTGATTCCATCCCCTGCCCATCCAATCTGCTTAGTACTTCCATGCCTTTTCTTACCAGAATTATCAATGTCTTGCTTTGTGAGGGGAGGGTGTTGAACATTCTGATGCATACAGTGCTCTGCCCCCTTGTCCACCTCTCCAAAAAACCCTGTCATCAAGCAAGACTCTGCCCTGGCCCTTGTGAGGAGGGGGAGTAGTCTTGAGCTGCAGTGGGAGTTCAGGAGGCACTGGAGGACATTCTTGTGTCTTAGGCAGAAAAGGCATGGAGTAATGGCATTGGAAAACATGGAGAAGGACTAAGATAGAGAACCCTAATATGCCGGAGAATGGAGGCGTAGAACAAGGTCTGGGTTTTAGTGGGAGGTTAAGAAGAACCGGAGTTGTTTCCTTTGTGTAGTTGAGAGAGAGGCTCACAGGAGGATCTAGATGGATAATGGGGACTCTTGGGAGCTGGAATAGGGTTGAATGCCATTGCAAATAAGAGGGAAGTCTGAATTAGGGGCTTGGGGAATATGGAGGAGGGTCCATTACTGCAGTCTTTTGAGGACAAAGACATGAAGTGAGTGTTTGGAGAGCTACGGGAAGGGTTTAGTACAAGATCTGTGTTTGCATATGTGGCAATACATATGGAAGGGAAAATGTGTGTGGTGAGGTACTGATTGTCTTTCATTGGGTAAATCTGAATTCCAGCATCAGCTAATAAACATAAAAGCATTACAGCTATTTAACTACTGTTAGTATAAGCACAAATTTGACTTTACAACAAGTCTGAAAGTTTCCTACCTTCTGTTGTGATTTCTATGATGAACTTTGTTCCTATACTCTGAGCCCAATCATTTCCCTGAGATCTGTACACAGAGAATGCAAAAAATGCAGCTGTACCACTGTCACCCTTTGAACGTGGGGAGGAGATGGATATGAATCAGTCAGAGTCATCTCATTTCCTCCCTCCTCCCCTTTCATTGAATCTTGAGAAGACCTCTCCGCAGGGTTGAGGGTCCATGCCTATGAAGGGGATGGGACAACTCATTATACTAAATTCTATACATATAGTAGTATATTGTAATAAAATGGCACCTCTCACTGGGAGACACTAACACCATTCACAATCATAGAGATACTGAAATATTTACAGTTTTCTAAAACTAGCTCTGACATTTTATTTTTAATATATAGATTCTTACCTGTAATTATTTAGGGAGCTGTTAAAGAGGCAAGGACACCCAAACTTTGACCAACAAAAGGCTACACTGGCAACAAGGGCCACATCTGATTTCAATGATCACAGATTTCAGCTGTCCTTATCTTCATTATGAAGATTTGGCTAGTAGACCTGCAGTCTACACCTCTGTATTAAACTAAGGGTGACCACAGACTGCATTTGACCTGCTGACCTAACTCTGACCAGTGACCACCCCTAATCTAAGGCATAACAAGTCACTGTAATTTTCCTTTAATGATCTATTGAAATGCTGTTCTTCCTCTGAGCTTGTTTTTTCTTTAAAATGGGGATTGAACAATAAATTTTTATTCACTATTTAAATGTTTCTTAAGGAAGCAGTGATAAAAACGAAGAGAGAGATGCAGCGGTACCTGGAAGATGAGCTGAAGAGGGAATCTGAAGCTGCAGAGCAGCGCATGGCTCACAAACTTCAGCGCATCCTGATGGAGTGTGCTTTGGAAAAGATGCACGCTGTAGCTGACGCCAGAAGACAGGAGAGGCAGACAGCATCCCAAGCAATGGCCAAGCAGCAAAAGTATTCTTGCCATTTTCTAAAGTTTAACTGTTCATCCATTTTTATAACAATAAGCAAAAATGCATACACCAACAGTAAGCAAAATATCCTAAGGGTTTTCTGTGGCACCCCATCTTCATCTTCTAAGCACTGATATCCTAACTAGAATTCTACCTATGGAATTCATACAAAATGTACTGAAACATGTAACTAAAGAAACAAGACTTGAGTACATCAAGGTTGATCATTCCCGACTTTCAAGAAACAGATCAATATATTTTAAAAATATTTAATGCCTGAAATTCAAAAGGTGACTTCACTCTGAAAAGTGACTGAAATTAGCATTGTGGGCTTTCAGGCTTATTGCATTTCACAATTTCACATCAAATTTACTTAGGGTAGAAACAACAATTTTTTTTTTCTAATTGCCAGCACCACAAACTTAACCTGGGACCTGAAAGTCAAGCTTTGTTCTTTATGTGTCATCACCACAAATAAAGATTTAGCAGGTCAAATTCTGCCCTCACTTACACTGTACAAAACCCATTGTCTTCATGTAAATGGAATGGGATTTTACAGGTTAAACTGAGGGCAACAGCTGGCTCTACAAGTGGAATTTAGTTAATTATGTTTAACAGTGTTCGATACTTAATAATATCCTGCTCCCTCTCCCATAAGATTAGAGAGTAGTAAGATTTACTTTTGTCACTAATGTCAGAAGTAATTCTAAAAACTCACAGAGAGCAGATCTGTTGGGTAAGAATGTTCCCTTTTTAAACAGCCATTTTTCAGAATAGATCCATACTGAGTTGACATTATGTAATGTTTTCATTCTCACAATGAAAACAGGGCCCAGTCCTGCAGTCCTTTTTTCCACAGACTACTACATCATCTTAGCTGGTATCTTCTGATTCTCCTGTCAGCTGAGTTCCTATGGGACCTGGTGAAAATTAAAACTCCTCCGCAAAGTGCAACAGCTGGGAGAATTTCCCCTTTGGCACAATGGACTTGGCTGACGCTGAGCGTACCATGGGGATACCCTTTATACTTCCCTGAGCCAGCTTTGCTGAATTGCGTTCACTGTGTTTGGGCACTGTTATATATATATTTTATACTTTTTCTTGTCTTATTTTAGTAGTTGTACTGAACACAGATGTGTTTGATAAAACTTAAACAAAAATTAGAAGTACATTTCCAGGCTACAAATCAATGTTTAGCCCCAAATTCACGAAAACATTCCAATTTGGGACAGCACTATAAAAAATGTATTTAAAGTTAAAATACAGAATACCAAACTGATTCTTCATGTTCTTCCCTCCCACCCCCCCCCACACCTTATTTGTTTAATTTTACATTTATTTTAAGTATTGTAACACTTTTCACCTTGACACATGCACCATTAAAATAATACCATTTGGTATACATATTGGAACTGATCTTCCACTGGTATAAATCAGTATAGCTCCATTTAAGCCAGTGGAGCTATGCTGATTTACAGTATCAGAGGATCTGGCCCTACAGTCTTTCTGTTATCTTGTTTTAGTCCTGTAATAATTTTACGTCATGTTATAACTTCACTTATATTTGAAACAAAATCAGAAACTTTATAATTGTACAGTGAATAAACTTTAAGTAATCTTTAATAATCATTCATAATGTATTAAACCTATCAAAGTTACTTTACAAATCAATTAACTTTTTAACAGAAAGTACACAGAGCAACTCCAGGAAGCTGGGATATTGGCTAACGAAATACATCAGAAGAACCTGGATCAATTAAAAAAAGAAAAACATTATGAAATGAGTGTTGCCTTGGACATCACTCAAAAAGAGAAGCAAGAGGAGGCTGAAAAACAGCTCAAAGAAGCAGAGGTAACACATCAGGCCATATACGGAGAAGTGACGACCAGCCTGAGAGAGACAGAAGCTCAAGTACAGATTCTTATCCAACAGCTGGGAAGCATGACAGCTTGGAAAGACAACCTGGAAGCGGAAATAGAAGAAATAAGACAATCTTTTCAAAACTACATTGATATTACGTTTCCTAAGCTGACCCCAGGACAAGCAGATTTTATCCTGCCATTCAGAAAGAGACTTGAACACAGGGATACAAAAAAGGAAGCAACAGATAATGACAAGGAATGTAAAGACGGGATCGGTGTGAGATTTACTGCAAGTGCAGATCAGTACTTCCAGTAGGTAATGCTGAAAAATAAATCAATTTCTGTTCACCGCATTAAACATGAGTCCCTGTAGGTAAAGGAAAAATAATCATTACATATTAATTAATGCACCAAGCTTAGGCAGGATATATTCAGATTCTCTCCTACAAATGGTAAAGTTAAGATTACACCTCAACTTCCATTATAATAACCTCCTGTCTCAAAAACTTTTGAACTGCAGTTTCACATGCTTGATATTAGCCCGAAGACACTTTTTTGAAGCGTGAGGAAAATCCATTCAGCTACTTTCCAGTGAACAAGAAAAAATACACTTTTTCTTAGTTAAAAAAAAAAAGATTAAAGGCAATATTTGAAGTAGTGAAAGCGAAGTGAATCCTGGACAGGGGTTACTGAAGAGAGAAGTGCCAGCTCTGCTACATGCTCCTCCTATCCCAGGGAACTGTGCTGAATTCTCCTCTGGTGGAGCTCTACTGGGTCATTGGTTTTGGGGATTTTAGGGTTAGGACCAGGAACTGCTGCTCTTTGTTATATTCTTTCTGCAGACTCTGAGGATGTCCAACTGAGAGTTAACACTTCTTAAAGCAGTTTTTATCATCCAGGCTTCCCTTCCTTACTGCACATCTGTGAGACAGTTAGTCTGTGGCAGCATTGCACCAGCAGAGTGGCTTTGAGGTTGCACAGGGATTCCATGGATCATCTAAGAGCTCTCTGGATCTTAGGAAATCCACTAGGTTTGATAGCTTAAACCTCTGCCCTTTCATTTCTTGACAAAATGATAAGTAGGAAATTCTGGTAGTCAAAACTCAGTTTCCTGTCTCCTAAACCAGATACACCCACATATGGCTTTACTGCAGTGGTTCTCAAACATTTGTACTGGTGACCCCTTTCAGATAGCAAGCCTCTGAGTGTGCCCCCTCCTCCTTATAAATTAAAAACACTTTTTAATATATTTAACACCATTATAAATGCTGGAGGCAAAGAGGGACTTGGGGTGGAAGCTGACACCTCGCGACCGCCCATGAAATAACCTTGCAACCCCCTGAGGGGTCCTGACCCCCAGTTTGAGAACCCCTGATCTAGTGCAACCTGCATCCATAACTCAAAAGTAGCTTAATTTAAAAATTTCAGATTGCATGAGAGTCTTGTTCTTAATGAGGAATAATCACTTGGTTAAATTTGATTTTTTTCCCTATCTATCTAAATACCTAGATGACCCCAACACTAAAGTAACTGACCACTGTTATGTTGTAAACTATTCAAAATTTGCTTACACATAAACATGATACAAAATTTCTATTAGGACTGTTGGTAGCATAAAACATCTACAACATTCTGAAGCAGGGGTGGGCAAACTACGGGTCGCTTCCAGCCCATCAGACATTTTTATCCGGCCCTCGAACTCACACTGGGGAGTGGGGTCGGGGGCATGCCCTGCTCAGCCTGCCCGGTGCTCCCCAGCCCCCGACTCACAATTCCCTTGATGAGCACCATCTTCCGGCATGGAGAGCCACACTGCGCAGGTGCGACTTCACCACACTGTTTCCAGGTTTGGAACCCCGCCCGTAGGCAGCAGCCTCCCGCCCCCACGTGGCAGTGCACCCAATCCCCTCCAAGTCTCCTATGGCCCTACTCTCGAGAGCCTTGAAACTGCCCAGGGTCCCAGCTAGGGTACCTCCGCCCGTGGCGGTGCCTGATACGGCCGCCTTGGTGTCACTGCCGGCAGGGCCCAGAAGAATCCCCGGTACCGCCTGTGTAGAGCCCCCCCCCCGTGCCACACCCCATGAGCCCCCCTCCTCCCCCCTTGGTAATATCCCTTATAGAGCCCCCCCATAATACACCCCATAGAGTCCCCCTTCCCCACTGGGCATTCATGGTCCACCATACAATTTCCATACCCAGATGCGACCCTCAGGCCAAAAAGTTTGCCCGCCCCTGCTCTGGAGGAGTGTAAAACTTAATTACACAACTCCTAAGTGCCATAGCCAGGGGTTTTCTTTCTTCTAAAAAATGGAAATAAGGGAAACATTGGAAAAAAATAAGTTAATGCAACATTAATGTTTCAAATTAATTTGAAAAAAGTCAGGGATAGAAAAATTTCTTCTTGCATTCTTAATCATTTGTTTTCGCTGACTACTCATAACTGACATCATCACACTAGCCTTTTCCTCCTCTCAACCATGGGGGGAGGGAGGCAAGTCCAGAGCGGTTCTATTGTAGTTGGGGCTACAGCTGCCATCTTGGTACACTCTTCCCAGAATCAGAAAGCTTAAACATGCTACTTTTTATATTAACAATCCAAAAATTAAGTAATTATCCATCTGACCAGATTTTTACTGAGCCAGTTTCTAAGAAAAGTATGGTTATGGCTGTCAACACATGATTAATTAAAGAAAGGAAATTAGTAGGTAAGAACAGATTGTCCATTTTCCTTTCTACTTGTGCTTGACAATTCTCATAGTGGGATGTAACAAGCAATAATTATTAACTCAGATCAGCCTACAGGAGCTCACCAAAATGCTAAAGAGAAAAAACTGCACAATTTTGTATCACATTTTTGCATAAAAATCCACACTGGGTGCCCCCAATATAACATCCCATCCTATAAATCCCAGACTCCAAGCCCAACATTTTCAAAATGTGGTTGTCTGAAGTTACACACCTAAATCCAGTTAGGCACTTAAATAAGTCTCTTGATTTTCAGAGGCACTGAGGGATGTAGGTGTTGTGATGTTGAGTGTTGCAATACCAAACTTTTAGGAACTTCAAAAAATCACTGGAATCCACAAAACTTGAGTTAGGTGCCTGGTCTCCCTATAGACCAGGGGTGGTCAAACTGTGGCTCATGAGCCACGTGCAGCTCTTTTACAGTTAAAGTGCGGTTTGTGGAGCCCCCACACCCCATTTGCTGCCTACCAGACTGGGGGTGGGGGGAGGCTTGGGGCTTCTGCCCTGTGGCAGGGTGGTGGGGCTAGGGGCTTCTCCCAGAGACAACTGGTGCCTGCTGAGAGTGGGGGGCACAATTTAAAGGTATGCCCCTCCCAGCTTGAGTCATGCCCCCCCAGGTACACACACCCTCTTACCCTCAGCAGCCCCTCCCTTCAGCTCCCAGGCAGCGGCGGCCCTACACTAGCTGCCAGCAACTGGCGCCCTAGGCGAACCATACAGTTGGCGCCCCCCAACCCCAAGGGCAGATCTAGGCTGAGGTTTTTGGTAAATTGGGAAACATTTATCCCTTTTTTTCCTTTTAATGTTTTTTAAGTTTTTTTTTTTTAAACAGAGGCTTAATTATTCGGTTTGTCCGTCTGTCTGTCCAACCAATGTTTCTGAGATCAAATAAAATAGAGACACAAAATTTTCATAATATATTTGTACACAACATCTAGATGATATTTCATATAAAAATGCATTAAAAATGTTAATTATAATTTTTATTATTACAAATCCAAAATCATCCATTACGCTATCCTGCTTTAACTGCCATTACCACCACATCCAATATAGAAAGAAATAAGAAAACTCTTCAATGAACTTTAACCTGTATTTACAAAACACTCTGAATAAACAACACTCTGTGCTCTTAAAACATGACTTTTCTTGCTTTAAGTTTTGAAAATTCAGTCACTAGTTTTTTTAGATCCAGTTTTCCAGCTATTTCATGCTCTATTGACATTGTAGCAAGTCCAACAAGTCTCTCTTGCACCATTGTTGAACGCAGATATGTTTTTATCAATTTTAACTTTGAGAAGCTACGTTCCCCACAAGCTACGGAAACTGGCAAAGTTAAAAGAATGCGTAGAGCTATAAAAATGTTTGGAAAACTGTCTGTGAGTTTTTCACAAACAAACTTCAGTACTTCTTCAGGAGTGGAATGTTTCTTAAGTTGTCTTCAAAAAGCCTGAAGCTCACTACATAAATCTGTAGCATCAATGTCTTGAATTTTCATTAGTCAATGCCGACTCCAGTTTTATACAAAATTCTCTTATCTGTTTTGCTGTTTTCTTTTGCAAGCTGTGGATATCATATAAAAAGCCAAATATTGATTCTAGCTGCTGCATCTGTTTAAATCTTTCATCAACCGAGTGAACAGCAGTATCAAGAACTGCGAAGTAGAAATTCACTTTGAACCTTTGTTTTGGGTTCTGAATGGGTGTCTCTCGTCCTTCATACGAAAATTGCTGTTTCTTTTGCCAAATGCAAACTGGCTCTGGTTCAAATTCTGTCAGAAAGTCTATTTCTTCAGCAAGCTCGAGAGAATCTACCAGTGTTCTTTCGAATCCTTCATCACTTCTGAATTCCTCCAGAATGTTTTTAGTTTGCTGCAGTTTTTGAATAGCAGAATGTATGTTCAAGTTCTTTTCCTGAAGCTGCTTACTAGTGAGGTTAATCTCGAAAAGGATATTATACTACAAAATGAGTGAAATCACAAATTTGAACTTGGAAAGGCCATTTGCAAGAGCTTCTGCATCTGAACGTGCCGTATTGCCAGATGATCCAGTAAAGGTAGTATCATCAGAAATTTCAATTAGGGCATCATAAATGTTTCCAAGTTCATAGCGAAGAGGCTTCAAAGCATCAATGCGACTCTCCCGTCTTGTCTGACTAAGTGGTTTCACAGTTAGAGAAGTCACATGGTGGATCAGAATCTCTCAACGGCGTGTTGAGCCTGAGAAAAACACATAAACACGTTGCACCAGGTCAAAGAAACTGCTTGCCTCCAAACAGCATCTAGCAGACTCATTGACAACCAAATTCAGAGAATGCGCACTGTGGGGAATGAAAAAGGCCCTAGGATTGATGTCCATCATTCTCCTTTGCACACCATTGTCTTTACCCTTCATATTACTCCCATTATCATAGCCTTGGCCACATAAATTTTCAACAGATGATGACATTGTTTCAAGCTCTTGTAGAATAGTTTCAGTCATAAATGCTCCAGTGGTCTCTTTCAGTGGTACGAAACCCAAAAAATGTTCTTTTATGAGCACTTCAACTCTATCTTCATCTGCAGACTTTTCCATATCCACAAAATGAATGATCATCGTCATTTGTTCAACATGA